AATTTTTTATTAAAAGAGACTTTTAACAACATAAAATTACAAATTTTAGAAAATGGAGAAACATTGTGAATATATAAAAAAGAAAATAGCAAAAGAATTTTTTTTGTAAAGAATCAACTTCTAATCTGCTTTACAGCAGTTATAAAAGCATTTATATTTTGCCCTAAGGTTTCCCTCTTTCCATAGTCTACTTTTCTAATCTTCAAACCCATAAATTACAACTTCATTTTTCTTTTCCTTTTTTTAGCGTGAACATCAACATAGCATTTACACTTTTTTTTTGTCTAGTTGAAATAGATGTTAAAAATAATGGGGAAAATGTGTTGCTTGAGTTTTATAGCCACTTTGGAGCAACCAAGGTAATACGGTATTATACTCTCACTTCCCAAAGATGTGTAAGTCCACTGGATTCAGGTATCACTGAGGGATATCACTGACTAGCATATTTGCAATACAACAACTTAGTTCTTTCAATGATTATTTTGCCCTATGACCAATCGTGGGTTTCTACCGGTTCGCCCCGATTCCGGCAAACCGGTACTGGCAGTGGCGGGAGGCTCCGCCCACCTGCCCGAACGTCATCATGGACGCTCAGAAGCACCTCACGTGAGCAAGCATGTACACACACATGCTCACAGTTTTGAACCGGTAGCGAAGGTAAGTGGAACCCACTACTGCCTATGACTCAAAACTGTGTGCAAGCAAAATGCACAGAGAACCCACAAACATACTAACATCATGAGACTGCTTACACTGAACAGCCACAAGTTTAAAAGAGGATACAGGACTCCTGTGCAGTCAAACAATACCTTAGTCAAACAAAGAATCATCTACCAGCAAAAAACACAGAAACAAGTATCTCTCCTGAGACTGGTGTCCAATAAACTGAGATCCACAATTAAGGAAACCCTAGTTTCTTGTTAGTCAATATTTGAATGAATTTTTCTACAAAGAAACAAGGAAAAGAATTTTCAGACAAACTGTTACAGTTGATCTGTTGAGTATATTTTCTAGGTACTTTTCCCTTTTCCCCCCTTTTCTATTGCCATAACTTTCTATTTTGATGTTGTCTTCACTCTTTAAGGTTGTTATAACCATCAGAGTAGCTGGGAGTCAGGTGCAGAGGTAGGTTTCAGCAGATTCTGACCAGTTCTGGAGAACCGGTAGCAGAAATTTTGAGTAGTTCAGAGAACCGGTAGTAAAAATTCTGATTGGCCCCACCCCCATCTATTCTCTGCCTCCAAAGTCCCAGCTGATTTGGGAGGAAATGGGGATTTTGCAGTAACCTTCCTCTAGAGTGGGGTGGGAATGGAGATTTTACAGTATCCTTCCCCTGTCACACCCACCAAGCCACACCCACCAAGCCACACCCACAGAACCGGTAGTAAAAAATTTTGAAACCCACCAATGGTCAGGTGGTATATAAATTTAAATGCAAAAGGCATTTTGTAAAGGATGAACAAGGGAACTTGAGCAAGTGCAGGGTTTTTTCAATCTGGAACAAGAAACTACAATACACTCTTCTCCGCAACTATTAAAGCCACAAGAACTCTACGGCTTTGTCTGGCAGCTATCACACAATTCCTAATGTTAGATTCAGGCACGGTTCATAAAATATCTAAATAAATCTCAGTGCATGTGTAGGCTAGAGAAAACTGCCTTGGTAATGACCAATTTTTTTATTGCCAGAAAAGGAAAACAATGTTTTGTTATCAAACTATCATTAGAGAAACCCTATAATCCCTGAATCAGTGTTCCCCTTGGGAGGGTCTCCCTGCCCATGACTCTGTTATAGTCATGTGCACCAGGGATGTCTGGGGGAGGAGGGCAAAAAAAGTGAGCTTGGCAATCATACAATTAAATATTTGGGTTTCTTTCTTATCATGCACCTTGTGTGCAATACTCAGTTAAAAAGGAGGACTTCACTGGTTACTACCTTGATTTTTCAACTCCCACACATATTCCTTATCATATACCTTCCTTTTTTAAAAAATAATCTTTATTTACATTTATCAATAAAAAAGAAGACAACACACCATATAAATGACAAACAGAACAATAAAACAAATAACATATATGCCTATAAGTAGTACCTTAATAACTTAATATTCGGTACAGTCATCTCCTTACCAATTCCAGAGGCATTTACCTTGGATACTAAGTTAACAGTATTTCTGTTAGAGCACATCAGCTTGAGAAGAAACAAAAGTGTGAAACCAGGACATTGACCATAAATAACTTTTTTTCAGTTTTGACCTTAATTCAGTGTTTTTCCAGTTTGATTTCAGTGAATGCCATGAAATGTGGAATCAAGGTTAAAACTATCAAATCTTGGCTTCCTGCTTGGTTTAGAGTAAAAGTTATGACACTTTAGAATTCCAGTAGTAACTTGCTCTGTTTTCCTTCTCCCCACACTTAAGATTTTAAAAACAAAAGTTGCCATGACTCACTTCTGCCTCCAGGCCATAACTTCTCACCTGAAAAATATGTTTTTCAAATGCAGCTAAATTGAATAAGCTGTTATTACTCAGCAGGATGGGACAGGTATTTTTTTTTTATTATCATTATCAACATGATCTAGGCTTCAGCGTTGCCATTATTGTATGAATAAGTTGCTTCAAGTACAGCTCTGTCCTTAACATGCAAACCAATAATTGGGTTCAAACATCACACTTGGGTTGCTTAACCATGGCTTCTTGATTATGTGCCATCAAATTGGTGCTGACTCAGCAATCATGAGTTTTCATCATGATGATCTCTCCCTAACCTGATCCTTTAGATCATCTAATTACATTATCACTGTAATTTAAGTCAAGTGACTTCTTGAATCACCCACAATTTGCTGAATTGACACAATGAGCTAAACTATAATCTATGGCTTATAATTCTCATTGGCTACATTCTCACATACATCAAGTGTTTAACAAAACCAAGCAAATACACATTTGGCTTAACTCAAGAAGCAAGTCTAATGAGTAGGTGTACATCAATGAGAAAGGATTAAGCTGATAAATTTAAGCCTATTATTTAAAGTGGGATTCTTCTTCCATTTTTTTCCTATAATGTTGCAGTAGGGTCCTTTTGTCTGTGTATTTTTACTCAGAAGCAAATCCCATAGCAAATTTATGTAGCAAATTCTTTAGCATAAAGTTTCTGTGTTGCAGGTGAAACATATTCAGTGTATCAGTTGGAGAAAAAAGAAAGAAAGAAATGTACTAGATAAAGATTTCTCCATCCTTCGAGAAGATTCCTCCATTGATGGTTTATTGTTTCTTTGGTATCGCAGATCAGTCTCATAGGAGAGTCAAAATGAAACCACTGATTATTCAACAATGAAGTTGTAATATCTGGTAGATGCTATCCTCCTTTGAAAGTTATGTCACATTTTGAGACCTAATTGCTTCTCTAAAGCACATACTAAAATATTTGGCAGGTTTTGGAGTGAGATAGTATAGGGAAATTAATAAGGTGCTCTTATTCAATTAGCTTGAATGTGCTTTCCTGGGAAAATGTAGTTTCCATGGAATGTGCTTCTTTTAACTATTGTATTTAGTTCATGATTCTTGCTATGTAGCAGACAGCCACAAGAGGGCGCTACGGGGCCACCTTTCTATCCTGAGGGGGGTGGAATTAGGTGCAACAGAGAGATCTTTTAAACTGGGAAGTAAAGGGTTGTAAATTGTGATAAAGCTTACAATCGAGGCTGGATTTACACAATACTTTAAAGCGATGTTTTTTCAAATTCTTTTTCTCAGGATACTTCCCACTTTCCAAAAATTATGGAGGACCCCAAAACAACTTTTGTTTGTAAGGCTTGTATTTACCATATGAAAAATTAAAATTGACACATTCACTGCCACTTCACACAATTGTTTGATGGGATTTTAATATTGATTAAACATAAGATGGGAAAAACTTTGATTTCATGGATTCCTAAGAGAGTCTTGGGGCATCCCCAGGGGTCCTTGGACCAGCAGTTGAGAAATACTGCTTTAAAGTTATGTATGCAAATATTCTGAACTTTATTATTTATTGAGCAAACTTTACCAAGCATATGGTTTTCACCTTTGAGAAGACATGCAGAGAGTCTAGTTCTGTTATCAATCTTTATCCTAAACTTAATCACCATTAATGGATTATATCCCAAATCACACTGGAGTTCCTTATGCTTGCTAACCTATTAGTTGGGCCTAATTAACCATTAAAACCATAAAACTCCTGAGTAAATCTGCAAACACCTCTTCTCCCTGTGTTTCAAGATCTTCCACAGTAAAGAGGCCTTTAATAGTTAATTGAGGCCATTTGGTACCTTTAAATCTGATGAGATAATAGGGAACATTTGAGCAGAGGAGATGCTCAAAGAGAAAGACATGCTCAAAAAGAACAGTCTTTAAAGTTTCCTTTTTCTACCTAGAGCAAAAAGCTAGGAAAACAAAGGAAGTTAAATGCTCTAAATTCAAGAAGCAGAATATTTCATAAATGCTCTAGAAGGGAAACAATTGCATGAGTGTATATATATACACTCGTGCATTCATTCTATCATATATAGGCATCTATCTTCAATGAAGGTGCTTGACAAATTATTGCAATGCTTTTTCTTTTGTTATTTTTTGCTTTTTTGTTGGGAAATGGTGCTACCGCTCAAGTTCCAAGGGTTTTACAGACTCCAAATGTTGATGGAGTAAAAGACAAGGAACTGGTAAGTAGAGCTATTGCACTAAATGTCAGAACAAAGCACATTTTTATATGAATTTATTATGAACATGCCAAGTATCTAGGAGACCCTTATCTCAAGTACCACTACAGGCTAAATAAATGCATCAGTTTGTTGGCAAACTTGGTCTAACCTAACTTTGAACTTTGCAGTAAGTCAGAATAAATTGAAATATTGCCATGATTGGAATCAAGGAAGAATGCTTGGATCTTGCCTATATTATGCAAGCCCCTGAATGCATGCCTAGATAAAAACATGATTTAATTCTGGGTTTTTATTTATACAGACGAAGGTTTCTCTTGAAGTACCCCAGCAAGTCCAAACAGGTAAGCTTTAAAATCTCTATAAATAAAGTGTTGGGTTTTATGTGAATTTTATGTGAATTAGCTTAAACTTGAAATGCTGCTCAGAAGCTTAAGAAAAAACATACGAACTCCAGCAAAGCTTTTCCCTGTTCCTAAACTACTTGGATTCAGATAGCAGGATCAATTGTTTCTTCTGATTTGTAATATTAATAACAAAATGAACATTGTACACCTCCCCATGCTGTTTTCCAAAAACACATATCTGCAATAATATTGAAAAAACAAAATAATTATGTAGAATAGTTTAGAATCAAAAGCAAAAAGGCACACACACACACACATGCACACACACAAACACACATACTGTAGATATAAATATAGAATTATCTGCATATTTAAAAAATCTAGTCGCCAAATATGAATTGTATTTAGTGGTTTGGGAGTCCCAATGTGGGTGCCAAAGATTAGAAAGGCTTTATCATCATAGCAATCTTTCATACATTACATAGGCATTTCTTCAGTGGGGTGGAAGGAGTAAAATTCGTCAATTTCTGGCAATCCTAGCAGTAATCTGTAGATTTTCATCACTTCTTTACCTGTAAGTGTCTTCTGGAACTAGGATGTGTTCCTCTGATTCATGCTACCTAGCACCTCTAACATCATATGTTTATTTACAAGTATGCCTCTGGGTACAGAAAATTAAAATGGCAGGAGGTTCTAGCTCAGTGCTTGAGCTGGAAATGTGTTCCTCTATCCAGGAGAAAGTTTAGAGTGAAGCTTGCCAAGCACATCATTGGCTTTGCTATTAATGTTTATTCTGATAATAGTAACTTAAAATTATCAACCCTAATCAAGTCTCCCAGTGCCACAGGAGGAATGGAATTTCCAAGTCAAATTATAAAATCCAGTTTGGAATGATCATAATCGCTTTATTATGTGGACAAGTAGCAAATTGGCACAATTGTATTGTCCTACTTTGGTTGCACATTCTCTATCTCCCCTGACAGGAAGGAATAAAATGACTAGCTCTCAGAGTTTGGAACCAGAAGAGTTGAGAAGTTCCCCCCAAAATGTTCTATTTCATGAAACAATGAGCAGAGAAATTGGCTTGGATCTTGCTACCAAACATAGAAGAAAATTGCACGGTTATAAAATTGCAGTTATTCTTGTATGAAAATGACTTACTTCTCTCTTTGGAGACACACAAAAAAAGTGAACTGATAGATCAGCTGTGTAGAACTGTGCCAGTTTTCAGTGATGCCAAATTTGCTACTGAATGGAAAGTTGGAATTGCACCCATCCTTGATGATTAAGCCACTATAATGTTGGATAATGTTGGTACTATTGTAAAAAGTTTTGTGGAAGCAGCCAGTCATCTAAAAGTCATTTCATCTCTGATACTGCCAAACAATAATCTGAAAGCATTGCATTTGAGTCCCAGAATTTGTTACCAAGAATCTTCTAGAATTGATATTTCTCATATTTAGCTTCCAAAATGACACATGAATCAGACAAGTTTAGGTCAGAAGAGAAAAGGAGTTTCCTTTGGAATTTAATTACCAAACCCAAACCATATCTTAACCCTAGCAAAACCACATAGTTACAGAATTAGAAAGTTCCCATTTTATTTCTTTAAAGACAGAAAGCCCTTGTCCTTTTCTAGCTGATGGATGAGAACCAGGGGTGGGTTCTACTTACCTTTACTACCGGTTCGCAGCGGGACCATGTGTATGTGCTTGCTTCGCATGCGCGCGCAATTCTGCACATGCGCAGAAGCATTTTGGTGATGTCGGGGTTGGTGGGCGGAGCCTCCTGCCAGTTTTACTACCAGTTCTATAGAACCGGTGCGAACCGGGGACAACCCACCACTGACGAGAACTTTCTCATGACACAACCAGAGCACTCTTCTGCTTGCTATTCCCAACCTAGAAGATGGCCTCTTGGCATCAGTGACATACATGTAATACATGTATACATGTAATGAATTATTCAAGTGCTTATTATAATTCTCCATTGGTCTTCAAATGCTTGGCACTCATCTAAAAGCAATAGGAATGAAAAAAGTAGAACAGAATTAGCCCAGGACTCTCTGTCTATACTGCACACTGTCACTAAATTTATCTTTGGAGTAGAAAGTCCAGGCACAATGTGAAGCCACTGCAGTTATGTGAAATCATTTAAGTGTTGTAGCACAAAGGTGATTCAATTGATGCCATTTAAAAAGATAAGGTGATTGAATTGAGGGCAGTTCCATGATGCTATATTTAAGAGTTAAGGATGTGAGGAGCTGAGAGAGATGAAGCGTCGGAAAAGACGCCTAGAGAGCATTTGGAGGACTAGTCAATCCGATTCCGACCGGACACAGGTGAGGTCTTATATCAAGACCTACCTAATGGCGATAAAAGCAGCAAAATCTAACCATTTTTCCGCTCTTATCGCATCTGCAGAGAACCGCCCAGCCGCCTTGTTCAGGGTGACCCACTCCCTTCTTCGGGGGGGGAGTGCGGGAAGATCCCTTGCAGGGTCGTGCTGAGGATTTTGTGCAATTCCTGCACGATAAAGTCGCTCGGATTCGGGATGGCTTGGACTCCGACTGGATGAGTCCACGGGAGGAGACGAGGGCAGGTCTTGAGAATGTTATCTGGGAGGAGTTTGATCCTGTGACTCCCGAGGATGTGGACAGGGTTCTGGGTAAGATTAGTGCCGCCACGTGTTTATTGGACCCGTGTCCCTCCTGGTTGGTGCTGGCCTCCCGGGAGGTTACACGAGGCTGGCTCCAGGGGATTATAAGTGCTTCTCTGAGTGAGGGTGCCTTTCCTGCCACCTTGAAAGAGGTGGTAGTGAGGCCCCTCCTCAAGAAGCCTTCCCTGGACCCGGCTGAATTAGCCAACTATTGTCCAGTCTCCAACCTCCGTTTTGTGGCGAAGGTTGTTGAGAGCGTGGTGGCACGACAACTTCCCCGGCACCTGGATGAAGCTATCTATCTGGACCCGTACCAGTCGGGCTTCAGGCAGGGGTACAGCACAGAAACGGTATTGGTCGCGTTGGTGGATGATCTCTGGAGGGCTCGGGACAGGGGTTGCTCCTCTGTCCTAGTCCTATTAGACCTCTCAGTGGCTTTTGATACCATCGACCATGGTATCATGCTGCAGCGGTTGAGGGGGTTAGGAATAGGGGGCACCGTTCTGCGGTGGTTCTCCTCCTTCCTCTCCGACCGCTCGCAGTTTGTGTTGGCAGGGGGGCAGAGGTTGACCTCGAGGCATCTCGCATGGGAAGTGCCGCAAGGGTCGGTCCTCTCGCCCCTCCTGTTCAACATTTATGTGAAGCCGCTGGGTGAGATCATCCGTGGTTTTGGGGTGAAGTGTCATCTGTACACTGATGATACTCAGCTGTACATCTCCACCCCAGACCACCCCAACGATGCCCTTGATGTGATGTCCCGCTGCCTGGAGGCCGTGCGGGCCTGGATGGGGAGGAACAGGCTCAGACTCAACCCCTCCAAGACCGAGTGGCTGTGGCTTCCGGCGCCCCGATATAGTAAGCAGGTGCCATCGCTGACTATTGGGGGTGAATCTTTGCCCCCCACAGAGAGGGCTCGCAATCTGGGTGTCCTCCTGGACGCACGGCTGTCTTTAGAAGAGCATATGATGGCTGTGGCCAGGGGGGCCTTTTATCAGGTTCGCCTGATTCGCCAGTTGCAGCCCTTTCTGGATCGGGACGCCTTGCGCACGGTCACTCATGCCCTTGTCACCTCCCGGTTGGACTATTGTAATGTTCTCTACATGGGGCTCCCCTTGAAGAGCACTCGGAGGCTCCAACTGGTCCAGAATGCGGCCGCGCGGGTGGTTATGGGTGCAACTCGTTGCGCCCACGTGACACCCCTCCTGCGCGAGCTGCACTGGCTCCCAGTGGTCTTCCGGGTGCGATTCAAGGTGTTGGTCACCACCTTTAAAGCGCTCCATGGCATAGGACCCGGGTACCTTCGAGACCGACTTCTGCCACCAATAGCCTCCCACCGACCAGTCCGCTCCCACAGAGAGGGTCTCCTCAGGGTGCCATCGGCCAAGTTATGTCGGCTGGCGACACCCAGGGGGAGGGCCTTCTCTGTGGGAGCCCCAGCCCTGTGGAATGAACTGCCCCCGGAAATACGTAAGATCTCCGACCTCCGGGTGTTTCGCTGCGCACTAAAGACCCTGTTGTTCCGCCAGGTCGGGCTATTAACATAACGATTTTAAATTGGGGTATTTTAAATTTCTGGGATTTTAATTGGAGCCTAATTATTTAATGATTTTAAATTTTAATTGTTGTTTTGTTCTGTGTTTTTAATAGGCTGTACACCGCCCTGAGTCCTTCGGGAGAAGGGCGGTATAGAAATAAAATTATTTATTTATTTATTTATTTATTTATTTATTTATTTATTTATTTATAATCAAACCAGTAGTGGCTCATCCTCTTAAGAGTTGGTAAAACAGAGAATTGCATTGCTTGCAGAAATATTGGCTTCAAGAATGGGCACACTGAGGGGTGAAATGCTCCTGGTTCAGACCGGATCGCCCAATCCGGTAACAATGGCAGTAGGTGGTTCGGAGAACCGGTAGCAGAAATCCCTGCCCCCTCCCCATGCCCAGCTGAGCCACGTGATCATCAGAGGGTTTTTTTTTTATTTTTAAAAGCATTTTTTTTACAAATGCTTTTAAAAGTAAAAAAAAAAAGCCTCTGATGATTGCGCGGCTCAGCTGGGATTGTCAGAGCCTTTTAAAAGCATTTTTTCTACAACCTCTTCAGCCGAAGAGGTTGTAGAAAAAATGCTTTTAAAAGTTAAAAAAAAAAGTTGGCCACGCCACCCAGTAACATTACCCCCCACCAAGCCACGTCCACAGAACCAGTAATAACAAATTTTACATTTCACCACTGGGCATACTAATCCACACAAAAAAAATCCAGTTCAAATACACTTCAAGGCTATGATTGAGTTGAGGCTAATGGTGCAAATGTGGCTCAGATTGGGGGCCTTCCCTCTAATTTGAGGCTAACCAAGGGATTAAGCCCCAATGAACACAGTTGGAGAATACATTATTAAATACATATAGCATTGCTGTGGTTTTGGAATAGGTTAAGTTGGAAATGAACCTCCTTCTTGTTTGCTTGAAATATTTGTCATGTTAGTTTTCAGTAACGGAATTTTCTATTGATGTCTATCTGTATTTATATCTTCTGAGGATTCATTCTTTTAATATTTCCTACATTTTGATTATTGGTATACTGCTGTGTTGTGCCTATTATCTAGTTGCATTGTAGTTTAAGACGCAGGGATTGTCACCTTTCTGCCATGGGGTTTAAAACATTGCTTTCAAATATCAACTTTGCTTTATTCCTTCCAAAATGTTGCTGGCAAAGTTGAACCATTAGATCAATTTCAGCTATTTATAGCCACTCTTTGCAAATGAGTAGAATAGCCCCCAAATTGAGAAGAATCCAAAAGTTACGGGGCAATTCACAAAGAAAATAGAAAAAATAAGAAATTGTACAGTATTACTCTAGCCCAGTTTTACCAGTTTGTAAAACTGCCTGGATAACTTGTCCTACCTAAAAGAGATTGTCAGATCATTATTTTTCAGATTTTGTTGGTGGTGGTGTGAAGCTGGGTCAACCCATCGCAACCCCATGGACAACGTTCCTCCAGGCCTTCTTGTCCTCTACCATCCTCTAGAGTCTATTTAAGCTTATGCCTACTGCTTCAGTGACTCCATCCAGCCACCTCATTCTCTGTCGTCCCTTTCTTCTTTTGCCCTCCATCTTTCCCAGCATTAGGCTCTTCTCCAGTGAGCCCTTCCTTCTCATTAGGTGGCCAAAGTATTTGAGTTTCAATTTTCCAGATAACATGCATCTTTCTCACACTGAGTTTAAAGGTCGTGTCTTGTCTTAAATGATATGGTTTTGCCTGACTTTTGTCTTTTTTTAAACAAGAGAACTTCTAGTCAAGTGAAGGAAGGGATGATGTGTATATACAATCACTTTAGGTTCCTAGAGGAAAACCAAAGCATTTAATCTAAACACCAATGAGAGTCTGACTACTTTATTCCTGTAGTTCTAACATTCTAGCCATGGGGAAATAATATTTGCAAAATGAAATGAGATAAATTCAATAACTGTTGTCAAGATTGCTACTCCTATTGTGAAATATTCCAGCAAGACTAGCCTATATCTTTTACTAGTATAAACCAGACTTGATCAATAAAATGATGGTAATTCCATGTCTTTATGTTTCCTACTGCAGAATTGGGAATTCCTTGGCTATCTGTGTATCTTCCTGTAAAAAGTTGCCATGTTATTTTGAAAGATAAAAGAGGGACTTTTTCTCCTCCATCATTAAACAGGGCTGAAACCAATAACTGGTGCAACTGGACCATATGGGCTGGTCCTCACAAGCATATCCTGATTTACATAGAAGGATTTGAAGGAAAGTCAAACTGTGATGACAATCGGGATAGAATCTTATTCCAAGGAGTTTTGTCAAGTATTGAAAACAAAGTAGTTTATGCCTGCAGAAATCACGGTACTCTGATTTATGCTACTCAAGCAGTAGCCGTCTATGTAGTATTTTTGTCAGAAGTTTCTTCTCAGAACCAAAGTCATAGGCACTTTAAAGGACGGTATTATATATTTGAAGATGATGTCAATTCTACAAGTGGTGAAAAATCAGTTTTGAAATCTAACAGCAGTTTTGGATCTAAGTCATATGTATTGCGTAGAGGACATAGTTTGAACTCTACAGTGACTACTCCAACGCTTGGCAAAGAGAATTGGCTGTCTGTGACAAATGAAAAGACTATTAAAACAGGGACAGAAACATTTTTAAAACCAGCTGTTGGCAAGCATATGCATGTTTCTCTCTTGAAATCAACAGAAACAGTTAGCTTAAATCCATTTGATTTGAAGAGAAGGCAAGTTACAAAACCATCTGTTGACAATAGTAGGACTTTGAATGAAAGTCCTACACTAGTATCAGAATCAAATGATGCAGAGAATGAGGGAGAAGCTTTTACACACAAGCCAGATGTTTATTCAACCTCTACACGCATGACTCATAATCCTCAAACGATGACAAAATTGGAAGCAACAAAAACCCATGGAACTATGATTGAATTTGTCAGTCCTCGGAATGATGGCTCTACAACCACAAGATGGATGACAACACAGGTGAGAAGTACTGAAGGGGAAATCACGAATGCTGTTACTTTTCCTCAAGTCTCCTTGGAAGAACAGAGAATTCCAGTCCAATCTCTTAAAAGTATCCCAACAAAGATGCAGAAACAAATGCTTCAAATGCTGCTTCCTAATTCTGAGGTCTCCAAGAAAAAGGCAGATCTAACGGGACCTCCACAACACTTGGAACAAACCAAAATATATAAAAGAGAGCAGATGGACAATCAAGGGCATACAGTGGAGAACAGCAACACTGCTGTGCAAATAACTGTATCTGAAGGAATTAAGGAAAGTCCCTCCAAGTCTACTATGGAAACCAAGTTCCATCATACCCTGACTTTAGCCTCTACTGATATGCACCCTACTCCTTCTTTGAAGTCATTTAACAATTACTTGATGAGTACATCCACAACTGTGAATCCCAAAGTTATGCCTTCAAATTCGCTGATGAGAACTCGGATAAACACAGCTTTTACTATACAATACAAGAAGTCCATAAACAGGAATACCGAGCATTTGCAAAAGAAGCAGACGAAAACAACTCTTTTGTATTCCCCTTCTAGTTGGTTGCCAACCAGTAGCATTCTCTTGAAAGTAAAAAATAAATCCTATGGTAAGTCCTGTTCTTTAAACTGTTTTATCTCCATGCTGGATCTGATAAATGCCTTGTGCAGCTGAACTCTGTTGGAAGAGATACAGAAATAATCCCAGAATGAGTTGTTTATTTAAGAAAACTTAATTACACTGAAGTTGGAATTCTCCGACCACAATAAATGTAGTACATGAGCTGCTTCATATATTCAGTATTCACTAAGTCTGGACCTTCTTAAGAGGTCTTAAGATCTTAGAATACAGGTAGTCCTCGACTTACGACCACAACTGAGCCCAATTTTTTTTGTTGCTAAGTGAGACATTTGTTAAGTGAATTTTGCCCCTTTTTATGAACTTTCTTGCCACAGTTGTTAAGTGAATCACTGCAGTTGTTAAATAAGGAATATGGTTATTTAGGGAATCTGGCTTTTCCATTGACTTTCCTTGTCAGAAGGTCGCAAAAGTTGATCACATGACCCCAGGACACTGCAACTGTCATAAGGATCATTCAGTTGCCAACCATTTGAATTTTGATCACGTTACCATGGGGATGCTACAACAGTCATAAGTGTGAAAAACGGTCATAAGTCACTTTTTTCATTGCCATTGTAATTTCAAACAGTCACTAAATGAACTGTTGTAAATTGAGGACTACCTGTACTGGACAAATATTTTTCTACCTCCAACTTCCCCTTTCTGGAAACCACTAAAGCAATGGGTGACTACTGCAAAGAGCCATTATTAAAGCTGTAGTCAGATTTCAATCCTGGGGATGGATCTGAATCTGCATTAGTTACCTCCATGAATGATCTGTGGTGGGACTTGGATGGGAACAGTGATCCATTTATCTTAGCTACTGGAGTGATCAGCCATTGTTTGAGTTGAGGTAACATCAGTCCAATTCATCTTTCATCAGCCATGGAGACTTAATTAAACATGTTGGCTAGTTGCCAAGCCAGCTCACTTTATTTCACAGGGTAGTTGGTGTGAGGGAAAATATAAAGAGGAACTATTATGTACGCCATTTCGAGTTCCCAGAAAAGAGTTGGGATATAAATGAATAAATTTGCCCACATGGTTGTTGCTAACTGAGACTTTGATAGAATTGGAAATATTTCTGAGTGACAAATTACTGTATTTTAAAATGCTGGGGAAAAACCATCCTGTCCAAATGCTAGATGGATATCATGTTATTGTTCTTGTTCCATAGAGACAGATCCTGGATTCAGGTCTCATGAAAATTATTTTGCATTGAACTCTCAGCACAATCCTGGAGGTGAGGAATCCTCTTCTCTTCTCTTCTCTTCTCTTCTCTTCTCTTCTCTTCTCTTCTCTTCCCTCCCCTCCCCTCCCCTCCCCTCCCCTTTCTCTCTCTCTCTCTCTCTTTCTCTGTCCTTACTATGTTTTCTTAAACTTTGCTTTCTCCTTTGTATAATGACTGTTAAATGATTTAGCAATTGACTGTTATTAACAAAAGCTACTTATCTTTAAAGTAAGTTCTTTTGAGAGTCTGATTTTTGCAAAAAAAAAAAAATTGGCAAAATGTTTGGAATTTATAACATTTGTTATCTCAAAGTAGGTCTATACAAAAGTAGTCTATACCAGATGGGGCCAGCTTTTCTGTCAGCTGTAACATTAAATTAGCAGGTTAAAAAAGTCTTCCTTGTTAAATATCAGAGCACCTATAAGCAATGTAACTTTAGTCTCCTACTCTTACCATCTCCTGTACTACCATCCTATGTGTAGAAAAGCTGTACCAAGCTGCTTCCTTATAGGCTTTTTTTTTTATGGTGTACATGTATATGTATTATTATCTGCCTTATTGTTTTTGGCAACTTTGGGTTCTTCTACAGATCTTCTATTTGAAACAGTTTTTGAAATAGAACAGAAAGGACAACTCCCACCTGTTGGAAGCACTCTGGAAAAAGCTTCCATTGATTCCATTAAGCACCAGGTAAGAAAATTCATGATGCAGAACTTACTTTAAAACTGGATTGGGGAGTGTGTGTGTGTAAATGTGGCTGTATGTGCATGTGTGTGCGCACATACACACACTGTGTGTATAAATGCATGTATCTACAGTATACACACACAGTATATATACAATACACACACAGAGACGCTCTTGCTTCATTTGAAGGTGAGGAGAAAAGCATTTGGTCTTGGCAAATCAATGGGATGTTAGTAACCAAAATTCACCTGGTGTACTGGATGTTCATGTTTCATATCTAATAAAATAATGGAACACAAAGATAACATTTAGAATAATTAAGGGCATTTTGTAGGCTTCAGTTTGTATTCTACTGGCTAGATCAGGTGTGGGCAATTGTGGCTCTTTTACAACCTGTGGACTTCAACTCCCAGAATTCTGGGAGTTGGTCCACAGGTTGTAAAAGAGCCACAATTCCCCACCCCTGGGCTAGATAAAAAGATACCGACATCTCTTAAAAGATGATGCTCCAGGTACACTCTGTTTATTGTTTAAAACATATTTTAAAATAATTAAACTCTTGGGGGGGGGGTTTCCAGGTACAAGACAGAATGAAACGCTTCTCTAACAAAATCAAAGAATTCAAATTAAAGGAAATTATGAGAAAAGAAGAAACTGAAATGGACAGGTATGACAACTGAATTACAATATACCTCAAAATCAAGTGTTATTTTCTGTCAGTTGTATTTCTATGTGGGAGGAGGAATTCGCAACAGTATTCCTTTAGGTCTTTTGTTAATTGATTCCCTCCTATCTGGAATAACATTGAAATCTGCTCTTTATTTTTTGCTTATAAAACTTGATGACAAATATGGATAACCCTTAAAGTAGAACACTTTAGGCAATTTTCGTCTTTCAGATCTGATTGAATTACACTTTTCAATACTCCTGGTGAGTTACTGCTCCAAGGTTTAGGGAGGTGATAGCTAACTTTTTGGTTGAAAATAAGATGCTTCCATGTTTCTACGTAGATACAATGGCCCAAACCTTATATTTGCATTCTGGTTGCATTTAACATCGGAAGAAAAGAACATATCTCACTCACTGCATTTTCAACTGGAAGATCTTAATGGTACATTTGTGGGAGCTGGTAAGGTCCAAACTGTTTTGGTGAGAGGTAGGTGAGCAATTATTTTATTAATTAGGGAATATCAAATAAAAGTAGTGACTCCTGTCTTTGCAAGCTTAATTGCCTATTAATGGAAAACTGCTTTGTCCGTGCATGATAGATGTGAATGAATGCAACTCTGAAATTGGTTTATGTGGCAATGAGGCCATTTGTCTCAACGAATATGGAACATACTCCTGCCAGTGTAAAGAAGAGTACGAGGACCGTTCTCTGACAAAATCGGGTACTCTGTGTGTTCGTAATCCACGGTCAGGTGGGTCCTTATGATACTCTATCCCCATCTCTTTTTGGGATTTGGACACTAAAAGGTTCTATCAGTTGCTCGGTGATGGTTTGCTGTTTATTTGCTAAGGCATAAAAGAATTGCCCTTAGCTTGCTGCTTCAAAAACAAAACAAAACAACAAAATAAAACATTTGATCTAGTGGTTAAGGCATAAGATAGAAACCAGGAGCTAGTGACCTTGGGCCAGCCACTCCCTCACAGTGCTAGGAAGGACGCAATGGCAAATCACTTTTGAAATCTTGCCAAGAAAACTACAGGAAGTCACCAGGAGTCAACACAGACTCAAAGGCACAAAAATATCATCACATCCCATCAAATCATTACAACAGCCTATCATCACATCACATTGCATCACGAAACATCACATGACGCAGCTGCCAAAAGTTCATAGTGAATGTGAGGCCGTTAGCAGGAGCCTAAGGTGATGCAATCTGTTGATCCTTCCCTTTCTCCATGTGGCTGCCCACCCCAAGGAAACGCTTAGAGGGAAATATGTTTCTGTCTGATAATGCTTCACATGAGTCACCCTGTGATTCAGTCCTTTTATGCAAAAGACTTTGCTATCATGGGCTTCACAAGCTAGAGACAAGCCACAAGCTGCACCGCCTGCTTGCCATGGATGCCTCTTTGGATTTGAAATTCCCTTCTCAGCACAAAAGTTTGTGGGGGCAGCAGTTGGTTTTTCTAAGAAAAAGCACAGTTTATAGGAAAGTTAAACAGCAAGCAAGTCAGGAAGAGTTTATCTTGACAACATTACTATGCATTGGTAGTTCAACTTGGCAACTTCCCGTGGCAGCTTCCGAGGCTGGTGGAGTAAGATTAGGCCGTTGTAGTTCCAATGAAACTCTGGAGAGGCTTTGATGTAGTTACACTTCGGCTCATATCATCTGAGAATGTAATGATGAAGCCGGACATGCTTTTTAAAGTACTCCTTCGTTGCCATAGTGTAACACTTTTGAAATTTGACACACGTGTGTGTGCACGTGCGCGCATGCACCAATATTATATATATGCATGCTAATTCAGCTGTCAGTCTAATGTTCCATTCCTGTTTCAGGTTGGCTTTCCTTATCTGTAGGGTATCAAATCTTATTGAGGCTTTTTATAGATTCTCTTCTTGAACGAACAAATCAAAATATTTTAATGATAGTTGCAAAATTGCTCCAAATAGTGCGTGGAGAGGTTTACTAACAAATGATGGACAGTCAAGCAGTAGTTTTCACTGAAAATTTTTCAATGAAAACATTCCAGCTGTGAAATGTACCACAAAAAGCTGCATGTTCTTTAGAACTTACACTGGAGGAAATACATTGGACAGCTAATGTAGCAAGCAACTGATGATATCTGGCTTAACCTAAATCTGCTTTCTCTGACATTACCTGGAAATGCTTGGCCTCATCCTGAAAGGCATGAGACGGAAACAGAGAAAATTCAGATGCTTGGTCTTCTAGAATTCCTAACCCCGTGATGGCAAACCTATGGCATGTGTGCCAGAGGTGGCATGCAGTGCCCTCTCTGATGGCACGTGAACCGTCGCCCCAGTTCAGCTCTGCAGTGCATGCGCGTGCACCTCCCACCAGTCAGCTGGTCTTTGGGTCTCTGCCGTGCATGCGCGGGGAGGTGGTGTGCATGCGGGGGTGCATGCGCTGGGGGGCAGGCACATGCAGGGGGCCATGCGCACATTGCATTTTGGGGGTTCGGGCATATGCTTTGGGCACTCGGTCTGGAAAAGGTTAGCCATCACTGTCCTAACCTGTGCTTTAATCTGTTGATCAACATTACAGAGGGTCCAGAGATATTTTACTAGAAGAGTACTCAAATCTTCTGCTCAAAATAAAATTCCCTATCCCACTAGGCTTGAAATTTTAGATCTGGAGAGCCCCGAAATACGCCGTCTACGTTCTGACCTATGCTTAGTTCATAAGATTATTTACCAAAGTTCTACCTGTAAATGAGTACTTTAATTTCAACCGTAATAAAACAAGGGCTATCAATAGATTCAAACTCAATGTAAATCGCTCTAATCTTGACTGTAGGAAATATGACTTCTGCAATAGAGTAGTAAATGTCTGGAACACTCTACCTGATCCTGTTGTTAGTCTCTCTAATCCCCATACCTTTTACCTTAAACTGTCTACCATGAACTTTTCATGTTTCTTAAGAGGTCCCTAAGGGGGCGTGCATAAGCGCACCAGCGTGCCTACCGTCCCTGTCCTACTGTCCCCATTTATATGTAATCATTCTATGTGTTTATGGCTATGTTTTGCCTATTTATATCCTTTTATTTGTGCCAATTTTTTTTTCATGTGTCTGTATCTATGTCTATAATGTTGAGCCATTTCCATGATTGGGTTGAACAAAACAGTCTTTTTTTTATCTGCAGGTTTGAACTCCTTCTACAACCACACTGAGTTTATTGTTGGAATCACTGTTTTTTGCATTACTCTGCTCATTGTAGTGATCACTGTGCTGTGTACTATCATAAAGAAAAGATGCATTAAAAGAGAGATGCGGTTCCAAGAGACTGTTTTGCCTGGGATGCCAGCAGAGCCCCAGCTGCAAACAACAACCTTTGATCATAATAACATCCGTCAACTCCTTACTCTGGACACTTCCCAGCTAAAGGTTAGAGCCAAACCACCAGAACTGCCCCTGCAATTGCGGGCTGGCCCCACTGAAACATACAGAGTATCCATTGAGCAGTCTGAACGTTTGTGAAGAAGAAAAAGAAAAAAAATACAACATAAATTGCAATTAAACCCCTCCTTCCTCCCTATTTCATATTAAACTTTTCTTTGTTGTGGCTGAGCAGATGCAACTTTTTGTTTCTCGATCAATCTTACATAAATTGTTATACCTTTCTCCCTCTATCTATTTCCTCTTAAGTTTAATGGAAATATAATGCTGGAAAAATATTCTCTTTAGGTTTTTGAATACTGAATTGTCTGCCTGTCTTCATATGACAGATAAGAAATGAATGTAACTACTGTTTGTAGTTGTTAATAAAATTGGCATCTTGCTCTTCATGCAATTCTGTGCTTTGGTTAATATTTTGGAAAGTTGCATAAGGAATGGGAAAGAGTTCTTTACAGATTAACTAGATCCAAATCAGACTATTATGGTTTATAGAAAAAATATGGTTGATTGTCACAGCAGCCTGTGTTTCAGCAGAACTATCTGGTAGAAAGTGTAAGATATAATGTGGTTATCAGAATTTTGCTATGGCCTCAGTATTGGATTTCACTGGGGAGAGCCGTGCATTTTCTAACCATGGTTACAATTTCATGTGCCGGCTTTAGAGAATATTGCAAAATAAATCAGAAAACATCATTCCTGCTGATGTCCGTCAAATAATTGATTCGTTCTTTAATAGTTAAATTGTTGGCTTGATCAGCTCAGATGCCTATATTTCTTCTGTAGATAGCTGTATTTTTTCACTGGCCACTGTTCCACAGTGCTGAGTGCAGGCACGTCATGTACAACTGATTCAGACAGCTGCTTTGTGAGCTACACTTTGCTCTGCCTTGATAGCCAAATGTCTATTCCCCCTCAATAATGATGCTGGCAAGTGGAACTGCCCTGGGCATTTTAATGAAGTCCAGGTCGAAAGCAGTGATTGGTTGATGCCTTTCCTCTCCCAGCAGCATTTCTCCACCTCCCCTGAATTGGAAAACCTATCACGGATCACTCTTCTACGCACTACAGTGAGCCTTTTTGGGATGATGAGAAAGTGGAAGTCCAAAAGCTGGCATTCTTCCTCCACCAGAAGCTATTATAACCATGCTGACAGTTTAATAATCGTGTTGAAAAAAAAAATAAATGCCCTGTGCCCGTCTTTCAAGTTGTCCTAATGGCAGTACATCAGCCCAGAAGTGCTGTCATTTCGACTCGCTCTGAACTCACATCTTGTGTTATTTCAGGAGAGAAGCAGACATGTGCCCAAAATTGAAAAGCAGGTGGACCGATCAGAGGTGCAGTATGTGGGAGACACCAGTCGAGTGCCGTTCTCTTTCACTACCTCCTCAAGAAACCCCTCCCCCCCTTTTTTGTTTGCCTGCTGGCTTTGAAGATTGATGTCCACCACTGTTCCCACTGCTTTTAAAGGCAACAATAGTGGAGAGTAGTTTGTTGATAATCAGGCTGTTACTGCTTCTCTATTCCTGTTTCTAAAAAGATCTTTAAAATGAGAAGGCAGAAATTTCCAGTGCTTCCTCACAAGGGCAGAGTTAAGCAAGGAACCCATGCAAAATCTGACTTGGGCTTTCGAAAACACCAGGCATGCATTATGCGGGCAGATGTCTGTAGAATCCAGCTGTCATGTCATTCCCCCAGCATGAATCACAATGGTCATGGAGAGCACAGTGCCCAGCCATCAGGGGGCAAGGAGAAGAAGCACCAAAAATCATGCCTGCAGCAAGGCTTGTGCCAGAAGACAAATGGAAAACATTGTTCTAACATTGGATCAATTAAATATGAGGTTAGGCAGCCTCAGCTATAGACGGAGGACGAGTCTGGCATGTTCAAGATTGATGTCCATTGGCGAATATATGTGGATCAGTCCATGGAACTGGTGTGTGTGTGTTTCAGAGCTAATCTACTCTCCAATTAGAGCTAATTAGTGACTGCTAAAGGCTCCCATACACATGGCAGCTTCAAATCAATCACCTTTGCTTTCATACACTTTCTAGTAGAATTTTCTATTTCTTTAAATTGATTTGCTGTCTTCAACAAAATCTCCAGCAGCATAGTCTGGAAATAAAAGAATAAATACTTTTTATGTTCCCTGGCTGAGTTCTTTATCTTTTTTCTGGGATCATGAGAACTAGAAATGTATACTTTAAAACTACTATCTACTGTATTCTTGCTTAATTAAATTACAGAGGCGCACAGTCATTTGCTTAACACTTAGATGGCATCAGTTTAATAATGCTGTTAAGGCCTAGTGAATAGGGAGAGTGCATCATCTAAAATGGTAAATTTTTTTTAATGTGGATAGTACATTGAAAACAGCAAGCATTTCACTTTCTGAAGGGTCATTTAAATTGTCAGTTTCCAAAAGAAAAGTGTGCTTATAGCCCTTATAGCTCTTATTTTCTGTTTGTTCCTGTTTAAGCTTGGCTTCTGTTATCTTCATCCCCATCATTTGGCCTCAATTCATTAAATTCAGTTTTTTTCAGACTAAGCAAGTCCAAGTGCAAGATCCCAAGGTTTTGTCTCGAACAGGTTTTAAAAGAGCTTAATTTTCAGGGCATGCTTTGTCCACAAGAGGGCAGTGTCTTCTGCAGAATGAAACTTTCAGCTTTATTACAAGTTGTGCTGTATAAAGCATGCATTTCAGGTGTTAAATATCCTCAGGTCTCCTATTCTGCATTCTTAAAGTTAATATTTTTATACTCTGGAGCAAGCTAAGACATCAAAGGAAGTGATAGCATAGACCTAATCTCTGCTCAGGATGTCTGCTCGCCTAAAAAATAAATCTTCATTAAGGGGAAGGTACTATGTGAGTTAGAACTTGATTTTGATTTTATTTACAATGTTTGTGTGGCTATTTATTCCCTTTCAATCTCTATTTTTTCAAAACAAAAACAATATATGAAAATAATACAGGTGATTCTAAAAATCCCTAAGAACTTGAACACTTTGCCTTCACGCCTCATAACATGTCAGAATTGAGTAGTATTCCGTGATAAAGGATATTTCTGTCAAAATATTCTGGGACTTTTTTCTGTACGTAATAAAGAATGCATAGAGAATGCATTTCTCTATTTTCCACTGATTTCTTATCTCAAAAGTCTCTGAAATATATTTTACCTTTGTTATTCTGTATTGGGATTGCAAGAATTTCTTCAGGCCCTTATGGTTTGAAACAAATACAGGTATAGTCCTCAACTTACAACTACAATTGAGCCCAACATTTCTGTTGCTAAGCAAGACAGTTATGGATAAAACTGATCCATAGCACACAAGTGGTTCGCTTAACAACGGGAGCATTTGCTTAATGACCACCACAAAAAAAGGTTGCAAAATCAGGTCGGCCATTTGAATGACCTGTTATTAAAACAGATTAAGACCATTACGATTTATTTTTTTTTTAATTTTATTTTATTAGATTTATATACCGCTCTACTCCCACAGGACTCAGGGCAGTGAACAGCCAGGTAAAACATATAAATTACAAAATTTAAAAACAGTATAAAATCTGATTAAATAATTTGGCCCGTGACAATTTAAACAACCCTAATGTTTTTAAGACAAATTTAAAATTCATCATTTGAATTAAAATGGGAAAAGAAAAAGTTAGGCCAGACCGGCCTGTTGAAATAGGAAAGTCTTGAGAGCGCGGCGAAAGGTGCGTAGGTCCGGGATCCTCCATTATGGTCGTATGTCAAGGACTATCTGGGAAGATTTTTTGGGTGGGCATTGTAGAAAGAACAATTTAAACAACCCTAATGTTTTTAAGACAAATTTAAAATTCATCATTTGAATTAAAATGGGAAAAGAAAAAGTTAGGCCAGACCGGCCTGTTGAAATAGGAAAGTCTTGAGAGCGCGGCAAAAGGTGCGTAGGTCCGGGATCCTCCATTATGGTCGTATGTCAAGGACTATCTGGGAAGATTTTTTGGGTGGGCATTGTAGAAAGAACAATTTAAATGGAGAATGGAGAATCTACTCTCCAACTTCTGGGAAAGAGAACACTGGAATTTATCCAATTACTCTATTCTTTTAAATATTCCATATATGAATACAGGTATAATTATACCTTTTGGATTTTGAAATTAAAAATAAGCTAACTTTCAGAATTTTTATGCAAAAACAGATACTCTTAAAATATATGTTAAGATTCCACAATTATGAACTTCAATAACTATAGCAACTTATAAATCTTTCCATTAACCTAGGTGAATAGTCATGGAAAATCAACATTTCCCACCATTTCTGGCCATTAGCAACCCTAGCTGAAGATGTATAATAAAAGTTAAAGGGGTGAAAAAAAGAAGGGAAAAAAAATCTCCTTTTTTGTTAGGTAATGTCAGGTATATAAATTTGAGACACTATATTGGAGTCAAGTGGAAAAAAGGCTTAAGGATTTCTATTTTTACTTTAGGCGGGAATCAAAATATTTATTACATGTTTAAGGGAGTGTTACAAATCTGCCCATATTCCTGCTTGGCTATATTTAGATTCATCCTAATTTGGTGAATAAATGATTCCCTTGAAGAAAGTGTTCTGAACATACTTCCATGTCCCCCAATATTGCCACATTTTGCAATTACACTAATTTTACAGAATACCATTTAATCTGCTCTTTTCTTTGGACTTAACTGATTATTTTAAAAAACACCGTAGTTGCTATAATAAGGGGAGGTTAACAAGCCAACACAACTGTATTCTCCTCACTCAATGCAAAAGCCATGCTCAAAAGACTGGCAAAATTCTGGTGGCAAAGGCGAAGAAGTTAGAAAGCAGGCATGCTCACACAACTGGAAAAATCCCACAGAGTTCCCACACAGAAGGCTGAGCCTTACTTTTTGCAGACTGTCTGAAGACAGACATCCATTTTTCATGTGGAAACGTTTTTGGAGCAGAACTGGAGCCTATCCAAGCAAACAATGCCCATCAAGAGCTGTGGTGGCACAGTGGTTAGAATGCAATACTGCAGGCTACTTCTGCTGACTGCCGGCTGCCTGCAATTTGGCAGTTCAGGTCTCACTGGCTCAAGATTGACTCAACCTTCCATCCTTCTGAGGTTGATAAAATGAGGACTTGGTTTGTTGAGGGCAATATGCTGATTCTGTAAACCGCTTAGAGAGGTCTCTAAAGCATTTTGAAGCGGTATATAAGTCTAAGTGCTATTGCTATCACAGATACAGGGAGCCATCAGATGAGAGCTACCTCACCTTTCTGCCATAAGAATCAGGCAAAGGAGTTCACCGTGTAACTGATACATTGCTCCATTATTATTTCTGGTCAAGTTTTTTTTTAATTAGTAGTATACAATGTTCCAGTTCAAACATCTTGTTCAGATA